CATTAAGACTAATATAGTTTGTGAGTTGTGACTATTGAAGTTCTGAAAAAGGCCTCTTGCTATTTGTGCAATTCCTCATGTTGTGGCTTATCACAATGTCTGCGATAGCCTTTTCTGGTTATACCAACATCCATTAATACCATGATTTGTGTGTGTTAAAGTTCTCTAGGACTCTCTAGAAGGCTATAGTACTTGAAAAGTTTACACAAGGAACACTGAATACTAGTTAGCCTTACATATTATACCTCTTTGGAGCAGTTCTTCCTGTTGCGTCAGTGATAGATTTTTCTCATACTGTGTCCTTAATCACCATGATATCAGTTCTCATTACATCCTGAAAATCCACACCAGGTTTACTTATTCAGCGGGAACTGAACCAAATACTGTGCATACCCTTTTTGCAGAATAACATAGGGCGCTGGGGCACAGGAGTCCACCTTTTTTTTTCAGATGTAGAGACATAAGATCAACATGTACTTTTGGCTTGTTGCTGTCCTTTTTTTTTGTTTTCAAGAAAAATGCACCATTCGAGTGCAAGGTTGGGGTCAATGTATGAATGTCAAATATGAATATACTTTGATGTCTATCTGCACGTACTGCTTTGCAATCTATCTGATCTCATTAACATCATTCTTGCAACGAAGGAGCATTGAAAATTTGATTGTTTTTTTTGTACCCACCATTTTTATGTGATTTTTTCATACGGCCAACAGTTACCTGTACTTTTTTTAAAAAGAAAAAAAAATCTCAGGCCAGATTCTTCTGCTTCTCTTCATATGTCGCTATCTGAAGGAACAAGTGGGTGTAAAAGAAAAAATATTCCATGAAACAAATATGGATTAGCTATGGATCTTCACATGTAGAAGCAATTGCTTCGGCCCTAGAAATTTGTTTCCTTAATTCACGAGTTTAGTCATTTCCTTTCAAATTCCTATGTTGTTTCTGTCCGCAGACTCCCTGACAGTGATCGACAAAAAGTGTGTAAATGTCAAATTGAGTGTTATCAGGATCATTGGTACTGTACTCCAGAGATTAGCTTTTCAAACTTCTTGCTCAGTCACTTCCGCTGGAAAGCATGGTGTACTTTCTTAAAAAAGAAAAAGAAAATCTCAGGCCAGATTCTTCTGCTGCTCTTCATATGTCGCTATCTGAAGGAACAAGTGAGTGTAAAAGAAAAAATAGTCCATGAAACAAATATGGATTAGCTATGGATCTTCACATGTAGAAGCAATTGCTTCGGCACTAGAAATTTGTTTCCTTAATTCATACGTTTTGTCATTTCCTTTCAAATTCCTATGTTGTTTCTGTCCGAATACTCCCTGACAGTGATCGACAAAAAGTGTGTAAATGTCACATTGAGTGATATCAGGATCATTGGTACTGTACTCCAGAGGTTAGCTTTTCAAACTTCTTGCTCAGTCACTTCCGTTGGAAAGCATGGTTTCACATTGACAACCAATTGTGCGGTCACACAACCTGTTGTGTTGATTACTCTTGCTCTCTGTGATCATGTGAGCATCTGCCTTGGCAAATCTCCACGTGGCATCAAATAGACCAAGTATTGCAACGAACCACATATTAAACTAATCTTCAGTTGCGGTAATTGGTACTGTCTATCCACAATCAGTGCAGCGAAACCCATATCCCAGGGAAGTCCTGGCTGCCTGTCTCCAAACTGCTGGTGGTTTTCTGGCTCTGTGTATAAGCCACGTGCTCTTTCAACAACTAGTGCCTGCATATAGTACACCTATTCTTGTTAGATGCCCTGTCACCATACCACCCTGACTCCTGATCACTGATCTTTTAGGGCACTAATCAGCTTCCATTTCTTTTTGTGACAAGTAGGTCTACTTGCTTGATGGGGGCGGAGGTACCGAAAACAGGTGCCGCTGCCCTTGTCGGCTGCCAGCCACTACCAGGACCCTAGTGGAAAGTGGTTTAGAGGGGTTGCCTGCACTTGCCTGTGTGGATTTGGAGGAAACCAGGAGGAAGGATCAGGATTGAGAAGGGTTGCATCTATCCCTGTCTGGTATCACCAACTTGCTATTTAGTACCTCACATATTTAGATGTCACCATTAATTATGAGTTGACAATTGGGTCAAGCACATATGCATCAGCCCAGCATACAAGGCAGAAGTCACTTCGATTCATTATTCAGAGATAAGTTTTCTTCAGTAGTTTTCTTTCCACAAGGAACGTTTCTTTATTTATGTAGAAGAACTATAAGCATGGCAACACGGTGAAGCAAACATAAGGTGATTCTACTTTGTTGTTAAGTTCTTATTTTTCTTATTGATACTTATTCCTGTTTTCAGTTATAACTTATTGTCTTGAGAAAACAACCTGCAAATCCAGTTGACAGCTTTTTTCTATAGCAGTTCTTCAACGATTTATTGAGTGCATATCATCGTTCCATGTCAAAGAAAAGAAGATTTATTATTCACGAGAACAAAAATAAATACTCTCCACGAGATGTTAAAGAATAGAGTACCCTTGCTGATGTTCATTGCATGACATCACACACAGCTTGAGATCATGATGGTTGAATATTGCACCTTTTTTTAAAAAAAAAATCTCGTTCATGGGCTTGGGTCCAACCAATAGCAAAATTCTACTTTATTAATGCAATCTCTTTTGACAATAAATATGATTAGTTGGGTTGCTCCAACAAATGTTTTTCAATAGTTAGCCGCCCGCTGGTACAGCATCAAGGACAGCAACTTGGGTTGCTCCAACAAATGTTTTTCAATAGTTAAATAGACCGCATTTAAAATATCATCCGTGTAGTTGAGTGATTTTTCTATTTTTTAGTACTAAACTTGCCTTAGTGATGCATGCAACTATTACCTAGTTTCCACGAACCTTTTTTGAATCTCGTACTGCATACCAAAAAACAAACAGAGAACTGTGCAATGTAAATTGCAAAATTTACCTCATCATGTCATGTGTGTCTGACTTCTTTATAGGTTAGCAGCAATGTAATGGTTAAATTAACTACCACATCTCATAGTTCACACAGGAAACAACTGCTCCTGATTTTTCCAGAAAGTCTCTTTCATGAATAATAAGGACAACTGATTTATTTAGCATCCTGTGTGTCTTGACTTCTGAAATTGACTAAAAAGAGTCCACTTGTACAATTTTCTAAAGCTAACCTTTCTGCCTGGTGGTTGGGTGGAGACAACTGTCTATACTATAAAACAAAGAAGTGCCAATCTTTTGGACACATAGTTGATACATGCATTTGATATTTGGAGTTACTAAAAGGTAGGACTGGTGGATATCCAACATCTTACTCTTGGAGGGATATGGTTAGTGGGGTATGCCAAAGTACTTAACCAATTAAAACCTTAAAAATCCAGAGAAATGGAGGGAGATGCATGAATCCAATACTTACTGAATTAAACCACTGTAAGGGGGATAAATGAGAGGTAACATAATGTGGACAAAGGGGATGGATGTGACTTTCAGAGAGGTAAGTCGAGCACTCATTTAGTTAATGCTGAAAGCAAAATTTTCAATTAAAGGCAGAAAGTGAGGTCGAAGCTTGCAGATGACATCCCTAGGCTCTTTTTTCTAGGGAGAAGATGTGTCATAAAAGAACCTAGATATTTTTTGAATTTCTTTTCATTGTTTGACATGGAACTGAATGGAAACTAAGGACCAGTTTAGGAGGGCCTTTACCACCTGCTTCTAGTTCATTTGGGGAAGAGAGAAAACAGTTTCTTGTATAATGCACAAGCTTCTGTAGAAGCTGGAGCCGTTTTGGGAGGAAAAACCCTCCCAATCCGGGCATAAATGTTAGTATAATGGATACTTAAATCTGTTCATCTGTAACTTTCTTTTATTAGTGAATTCATCATATGAAGCCCTTCAGTGCCCCCATGTATCTGTCTGTTCTTAACTACATATTAGACTACCATATAAAGTGTTTCCAAATTCAGACTCAATAAAAGAACACCACTGGATCTTGTTTAGGATAGCAGAACATCGAATACCTATTAAATATGAAAACATCGTGCCTAGAGGCCCATTATCTTATGCAAGAGTCGTTTTCTTCTAGCCAACTTACACAGCACTGCATATTGTCAAGTACAACACCCATCCAGACGAGCAAAGACTTAACATAGAGGAATGGCATAAAAAACCCGGGTTATTCCCATCAAAGAAATCATTGTCTAGCTAGCTCTGCACACATTCATACCCACCTGTTTGTTCATATCCTTTGCAATAGGTGGACTTCTGAAAACAAACATTTACTCAGAGTCTTCTCTGGATGCATGTCCACTGAAAATGACATTTAACTAGATTGCTGCTCATGAAAGAGAAGGCATCTGCACCGTGGTGCGAATTGGCGATCTAATTAGTTGAACCATGGAGGTCGGCCTTGTCAGGGGCTCAGGGCTGGCCAGCTTTTAATTATGAATGGTGGAGTGATGATCAAGGGTGTAGCTGCATTGCGCGAACAATAGCTTAATCATCTTGATAGCATCCAATTGCTGAGGGTCACTATTCTGATCCTTCCAGCCTTCCAGGTCACTTTCAACTTAGTTACATAGCACTCGATCGGTACGTAGACAGATATTTTACATTCAGATTGGGAGACAAATTGAACCACCCCAAATTGATCAATCCTTTTCTATGATTTCAATTCACCAGTGACCCTTACATACATATGATTATTGGCATCATCACTATTCTGATTTCTTCCCCTTAGACTGGTCATTTGGGTGCTTACATTTGCTTCACTATCTGAAACATAAGCACCCAAATGACCAGTCCTTCTATACATGATCCCCTTAAACTCACAATATTTGCCTGCGACCACCAACCAAGGGGTGCAAGAACCTCCAACACTACCGTGTTCCTCCTCCAAAAAACAAAAAGAAAGGCAAAAATAATCCAATCGGCCGAATTCTCGACCAAAGTGCAAAAAATCACTCACGGCACAAAAGCAAGAAATACGCAAGAGTTCAAGCTCTGGACCTACGAATTATCATCAAGATGCGTACATTTCACCAACCAAATCCATCCTGGACGAGCCGAAAGGCTGCAAGAAGTCATGGTCAGCAGCCAGGCCCTGGAAGACGCCCTCCTCCTCCAAGAAGCTCAAGAACCCTCCCGGGTTGAGATCCATCCACAGGTCGCTACGGTCGAGCTCATAGTCGTCGAAGGCTCCTTCCTCCACCTTCACCTCGCACTTGATCTTCCTCTTCTTGATGATCGGCTCTTCCTGCACCTTGAAATCGCTCATCTCATCAGCCACCGGAGGAGCCGGTGCCGGCGGCCTCGGCCTCTTCTTGGTCGTCGTCGTCTCCATCTCCTCCTCCTCTACCGGTGCGGTGTCGTCGGCCGAGCTGTTGATGCTGGCGGCACAGGCGGTAGGCTTGCCGGTGAGCCGCTGCACGAGGCCCCGGAAGTGGGCGACGTCGGTCTTGATGATCTCCGGCGCCATGATGTGGATGATCTTTATCTTGGGCCGCGTCTGCGGCGGTGGCATCCCCCAGTGGTGCACCGCCCTCATGGTCGATGATGTGCTCACGCCGCCGTTGTGCTCCCCCATTGGTGCGCGGGCCGGGTGTGGATGGAGAGAGACTAAAGCTAGAACCAAGAGGGAAGTGCTGCGGAGACGATGATGAAGAATTGATGATGGTGCTGTGGTTTTGGTGGAGTAGGATGAGAGGGGATAGGTTGTTGTTGTTTATATAAGGTGGGATCGTAGAAGAAGGGGAGAGATGTGACACGCAAGGCAAAAGACCAACAAGGGCCTGTTCGGGACTGAAAAATACTGTTCCGGCTGATTGTTATGAGAGAAAAATACTGTTCCGTCTGGACGTGAATAGTATTTCTATGAGTGAGCTTGCTAGCCGGGCTTAGCCCAGCCAGCCAGCCGAACGCTCCCCAAGTGGAAAACCAATTTTCAAGTTTTGAAATGGGAAGGAAGGAAGAAGGATCAGCACCAACACAAGTGCGCCACCGTGGGGGACTACATGCATACCAAAAGCATACACCCTTTTAGATACTTTGAAAGGACGGATGTGTGTCCTAGAATACGTACACGTACGTCCAGAAAGGGCAGCAGCCAGCAGATGTGGGTTCACTTTTCTAGTGTCGAAATGGTGAATAGTTTAACATGATATGTACGTGGTGGTTTGTTTTAGGTTTGCTGTACTATATATAAGCCGCTAGCTACCTATAGCTCCTGGTTGGCATGTGGATTCTAGTTGGTTTTGGTGGTTGATTGACTTGTACACATGCATGCTATGTAGATATAATAGGAAGCTAAGTGTACATATCTTATTGCACGATCCATCCTTGCCTTACTAAGTTATCCGCAGATCCAGATAGAGAAATGTAGGGAGATGCACATATTTGTACACAAGTCTTGTAGCTAGCCTGATCTGTTCTTGCCTTGCATATTATCTACTTATTTACCCGAACGAATACACTGCAAATAATATGGTGTACTACTTATGTACTCCTACTTACGTGCTGACATGGGAACGAAGAAATATATCTGCTCCTGATCAAATTGAACACTCAGCAGTGCAGCAGCAGTACGGGCAGGTACGTTGCTAGCTCTCCCGAGGTCCGCCCGCCCGCCCCCGACACGAAAAGCGCAAGTGGCCAGGGATTAGTTTTTCCTTTCCTTTCCATGGGGGCCTCCCCAAAGAGTGCGCGAGAGAAAATACACGCATCTGCATCAGCAGCCGGCTACTTGCGCCGCCTCTCAGCTAATCACGCCCCGCGCGCGGCTCCGTCCGTCGCTCCTGCACCTGCCCATCAGGCATCAGCCGTTCGGTTCCACGGCGAAGGCACGGCGGGCCGCACGTGCGCGCGCGCGGCGACTCTCTAGCTAGCTTCTCGGCGGATGTGGGATGAAAAAGAGGAACTGACAGCGACGCTGGCCGCGCGCTGGGGTGACGACCGGCGAGATGTGCATTTGCTTGGTGCGAGGCCGCCGACCTGCCAGGCCAACTGGCCAAGGCCGCCGGCCGCCTCACGCGGTTCGGGTCGACGGGCTGGCCGGGCGGCTGGCGTCAGGCCCAACCACTCGCCGGTACGGTACTGCCAGCGTGCCAAGTGCAGCCGCAAGCACGCACACGACGTGCGTGGCCGGCGGTTGTGACATACGTAGGCGTCGTGCTCATGCCCCATCGATCAATGATCAATCGCTGCTGCTTGGTCCGAGTCCGATTCGTCGACATATAGAAATCAATCGATCTGTCGTTGGATCGCCCAGCTGGTCATTCCATATGTCCGCGTCTGAGAGCTCCCGTCCCCAAGAAGACAAGAACCACGGGACAAAACGGCGACGAAATGTATATTCTGCTGAATCTATCTTCACTGCTCAACTGGGTCGGAGTTGGTGTTATTGCAGTCTGCAGAGGTGAAAGTGAGGCACGATTGATCGATCCATACGTGAGGGCGAGGGGAACAATCAATCATTCACTCTGAATTTTGGATAAAAAAAAAATCATTCACTGAATTTGTCGATCGAAAGTCCGTCACTGTTCTCCTCGCCTACCTTGATGAGTTGTGGTGACCAAGACTACAAGTAAATCATTGCGCATCGATCGTCATATCCCTGCATCAAATAGTAATATGTGCCGATCAAATCAAATAGTAATATGTGCCGATCAAACCAAATAGTAATATGGATAAAAATCTGTGTCTATAAGATCGAGTCAGCGCCAAGAATAGGAAACCTATTCACTTCAATTTTTGCTACCTACCTTGACTATCAAATTAATCAAGCTTACACAGTGCCTGTTGACTTCATACAATTTTAATTTTGAAAGCCTACTAGTACATGGTTGAGTTCTAACTTCACCGTGTGCATCTGCACTACGGCCCCGTTTGGCTTACCCCATATTCGGTTTGTTCGACTTCTTTTTTCAGTCGGAATAATATTTTTCTCTCACAACAATTCAGCTAGAACAGTGTTTTTCCACCAGTTTCAGCCAAAATTCTACCAGTCGAACAGGGCCTATGTAGTGGCATTTATGAAATGCATCAGGGATCGCATGGGAGGCCAGAGGAGTAGCTTCCTTTGTCCTCCTTCGCCATGGTGAAAAGAAGCCAAATCGATCGAGGCACGTAATATTAATCACGCGGAAGTTGACATTGGCCAGTAACACTGAATACGACATGGGGGCTTTGCAGTTTGCGTTGGAAGATTTTTTTTATCATGCCTACTAGAAGCATACCTCGTGTGTTGCTGCAGAACCGCGGATTAGTAAATTGTGTGGCACATTAATATAGACAACAAAATACTTGTGTGTCTTGCTGACGTGGACAGCTTGCATATTGAGATACTTCCCCCGTCTCACAAAAACTGCCGTTCTAGCCTTTAATCTTTGTCCCCCAAAGAGAGTCGCAGGAGCACCATGGGTCCACGGCTAGTCACGTCGCCCCACTCACCTTAGGTCATCCTCATCCACTCGTCCAATGGCAGTAGAGAGATGGTGTCCTGACGGTACTTGGATGGCAGAAAGCAGGAGCTTTAATGTCCTCTGTGCACAACAATGGTGGTAGATGTAGGGACATGCAAGTCACTGTGCCTCTTCCTTGGTACTGCTCCCAATCTTAAAATGACTTTTTCAAGAAACAGAGGGAGTACATACCTAGTGGGGTTTAGGATTATAAGAGTTATAGATTAGCTAATCAAGTCATCATTGCCATTGTTTAGTTTTCAAAAAAGCTTTCTTTTCGAGGGCAATTGTTCAAGCTCTGTTTTGACGGTCCTTTTCGATGGAGTAGAATCGATGTGACATAATTAGATGTGTTGTATGCACCAGCTTGAACTATTTTTTATTTTGGATGACAATCAGCGCTATAAAACCCCCCTCCCACCCCGACCCCCGCAACAATCCCCTTTTCCAACAAGCCATCATGTCGGGGAATGAATGTTCGACACACTTCACATTTTCAGAAACGGTAATGCTACCATTCTGGACGCCTCGCTCCACTCACTGTCGTATGCACCACTCGCCTAAAAAAACAAAATCAACTCCCGCACACCTCACTTTGCTCCGCTCCCGCGACGGTGTTGCAGGAGAGTGGGCGGCTCTCCTGCACCCCGGCGCGGCTCCCCACCCCCGGCTCCCTCTCTTACCCCGGCGACCGAGCTCCCCCCACCCCGGCCGCCATGGCGCTCCTCGCCCTCGCCCCCATCCCCCACCGTATCCACCGAGCCAAGCCCAGTACCGGTGGCGCTAGTGGCGGTGGTGCTCGTGCGCCGCCACTTGCCGCCGGCTCTGACCCCGACAGCTGGAATCGACTGCCCAGGCTTCCCCTTCCCTATGATGCAAATGTATGTTTCAGATGTTTCGGTTGTTTCAAAGGTATGTTGTAGTTGTTTCTTATGGATGTTTGCAAAAGTAGATTGAGGGATGTTGCGCATGTTGTATATGAAGCAAGTGTTTCAGAAGCATGTTGCAAGCGTTTGTTCAAAGTGTTTCATCTATTTACAGACATATGTTGCATTCATTTTTTATCTAGATGTTGCATATGTTTTCACATATATGCTGCAACAGTATGTTCTAAATGTTTCAGCTGTTTTCAGTCTTATGTTGCAGTAAGTGTTTTTTCATGTTGCGATTATTTTATCCAGATGTTGCATATGTTTCACACACATGTTGCAAGCGTATGTCCCAAATATTTCATCTGTTTCAAATGTATGTTGCATTCGAGTGTTTCATGTTGCAAGTGCAGATCGCCGGCGTTGGTGTCCATGAGGACGGGCAGGGCCAAGCCGCGGCCACCGACCCGTGGAGGAGGCGCATGCCGCCGCCGGTTGTGTGGGAGGAGGCACAGGCTGCCGGGTGCTGTTATGGAAGAGGCGGGGGCAAGTCATCCGAGCAACATGGGTAGCGGATCTGAAGTGGGCGGTTCGGATGCGAGCGCGAGAAACAGAGCTGGCGTGGGCGGCGCGCGAATCCGAGCGGACGGTGTGGAGCGGCCGCGGGCGTCCGGGCGGTAGTGCTGCCCAACAAGAAAGTCTCTACTCCCTCTATTTCAAATTACTTGACGTTTTTATCTTTAACTTTTGCTATGTATTTAGATACCAGCATTGCAAATCCCGCAGCGAATCCAGATGAGTTTCCGCCATCGAAGAAAGTTATTATTTAATTTTATTATAAATTTAGTTAAACTTAAGATATTTTGAATCTCTAAAAAAAGTTAGAATACCTTGTAATCGAATACCTTGTAATCCGGGATGCTTAGCTGCCCCTTTAGCCATTTGCCAAGCGGGTTCCGGTTGCTCCACGCGACGGCTTTTGCATGCAGTAGTACCACCAGTCCACCATTGTACAACGCGCTACGGCGACTCATGGTGATATTTATGGAAGTACGGAAATATCTCCTGTCGGACGAATCGAAAACGAGACAGCGCACCGGTACATGCTCTCCCGAGGCCCGCAGGAAGAAGGCTCAACTCAAAGTCGCGCGAGGATTAATTTCCACGAAGTACCAGAGAGGTGGATCGACCCCGTGCGCGAGAATTTGCTCATGGATGCATCAGGTAGCTCGTCTCCGAGTCCACCCCATCGGCATCTC